TCCCCTTAGACCTATGGACAATGTCGTTGACGATGGTGTTGTGAACAATGATAAAGCACATGTTTGTGCAGTTGGAACAAATGCATACACCCGTGATCTAATTTGGTGCATGATAAGTGTAGTCATGCTTATTGTGGGTATCGTGTTGACCCATATTGTGTACTCTCTAATGGGTTATCGTGGTTTGTTTAAATGGATACCATAACAACAAACATATTTTTTTAATGGTTAGACAATATGTAATGACTTGTGTACATGTTCTATGTAAACCTTAGTATCTTATGCATTTTGATCAACTATATTTGCGTAGTAATAAGTTGATTTTGTCCATACGGTTAACTGTTAAATATATGTAACTGTGAATGAGTATACAATGTATGCATTTGATTCATTTACTGTCGACTATTAGGCTTATCTTATGTACGGTTGAACCCAAATTAATATGTAAATTATATGTTGTAGTTGACAATGAAGATCCCAAAGATTTCAGAGGATGAAACAGACGTCATCATTATCGACACATTATTAGAATTCATTTCCTGTGGGCCGTTACACGCATGATATGATGGATGATTTATTGTGCGTCGTTAAATGACATTGTAAAGGGTTTACATTGTCGTTTACAGAACTTATTCGCATCATTTTCTACTAGGAAAAACAATTCTTCACTATTACGACAATGATTGATTCTGACAATTTTACCTGGGACCCTTTGAAGAAGTCGTTCGTAATAGGGCTAAAAAGATGACCTGTTGAGTATTTGGAGGTAAGTTACTTCATTCTTAGAATTTTCTTTACATTATTGTCAATTATGAAAAGATGTTTCATATATATATTTATATATATATATATTTTTTTTTCCAGCCATTAACACATACTTTCATATTACTAATTGTAGGAGGATAATTTTGCTTCGCAACATTGTCTTCAACCATGCCCGAATTTTGAATATTTCGGTATTATATTTAAAAAAGATGAAGTAAGCTCAAGTCACCCTCCTAGTGACAGTGTTGGGAGTTCACCGTCAATGAACTCTCACTTTGACGGTGATATCATAGTGATCGATGATTAAATGTTGGGTGCAATCGGTCAGGTTGTCTGTTGTAATAGTAACTTATAATATTCGTATGTATTATAATGTATATGTGCATGTAGCAGCTGGGTAAGTATGTTTACCCATTTTTTTGTATGCAACACACATTAGAGTGTGTGCATGTAGCTTGATACTTTGTACCTCCTTGTGTTGCCTTCGTTTTGTATGTATACTTGAAGGCAACAAAGAATATAAACATATCGAATACGTGTAATTACGTAGTACGCTGCCTTTCTTTTGCTTCATCTTTTGTATAAGACTACGTGTGGTAATGAAATATGTTTAGGTGTTTTATCGATTCGTGTATATCAATTATTTTTTTTATCTTTTTTCATTTTTATAACAATGTGGGACAATTTTATGAGCAAATTAATTAGACCAAATTTATTTGGTATTGCAAACATTAAAACTAAATTATTTTCGGTTTGTACACTTTGGTAACATACATGAAAATTGGAGTGAAGTTTAAAGGTGGACAAAATAAATAATATTGGCTCACCCAACAATGACTTTGGATTTGATAGGAGTGAAGGGTAAAATTGTAATTTAATATAAAAGATAAGAGAATTTACACAAAAAATAATGGTTTATCCGTGGGCTCCATAATATACAAAAGTACTTCCCAAAGGAAAGATTGAATTACACAACTTGATTAGTATCCTGTCTATGTCCCCCGGACTTGGGTTTTCATTGAATTGGTTTGGATTAAAAAACCAAACCAATCCTATCTCCTACAAACTTGCCAAACACACCCATGGGGTTGTCCATAGCCAGGCCAATGTTGTACCAAGTCATGTTGAATAGAATGACGGTTCAGGCTACGTGTTGTGGAAAGTGGAACGTGCTTGGTTGTATTTGAATTAATGTTCCGTTTGGTAGGAAGAATGATAAGTAAAAGATATGGAAAGAGAAATATATACTTTCAATCCTTTCAGAAAAGAAAGTAAGCATGATACATTTTATCTCATTTGTGTTTGGTAGGGTAGATGAAAAAATAATAATTAATTTTTTTTGTGCTTGATAAAATGGAAAAAAATATATTTTTTATTTCTTATTTTAAAAATTTTTATTTAATTTTTTTTAAAAAAAAGTATACACATGTTTTATCGTTGTATTTATATATAAAATTAATGTATACATAATATCTATATAATAAAGTAGCTAGATTTTTTTATTTTTAGCTTTTCGTAGCTCAGATCGCTTGAAGAAATATTGATCCGACGATCTAAATACGAAAAGTCCTATCTCGCCCAATTTTTTGAGTAAAACTTCCATTCATTCTACAATTTTAAGGCTCCTATATCTCTTATAACTCTCTATCTCTTTATCTCATACTAGATATTAATTAGGTCATTAATTATGATTCTAATTAAAGATTATTTTTAAAAATTTTAAATAATCAAATGAACCTTAAATAAATATTTTTTGTGTCAAAATGAGTTGAATGACTATAATATATGTCATATTTTGTATTGAAATAAAAATACTATAATATTCGAATGATATAATAGGTGAATAATATATATATAATGTGATATATCTATATACTAAAGGGCTATCATTACTTGTCTTGAATTTTTCATAACTCAGATTGTTTTCAGATTATTGATCAAACGATCGAAATTCCTCTTCTAAATTTTATTTTACTTGATTATTGATTTGAAGTGATTATGATTAGTATTCGAATTTAGTTGAATTTAATTGTCGAGTATAAGTATATATTTTTATTTAAACTTAATTTTGCTTAAATTTTACGAGTATTCAAGTTGAAGTCAAAGTGCAATTAATTGTAAAAATAATAAAGAATAACTAAATTAGAAAAGAAGAAGTTATGACATCACAGTAAACGAAAATAGGTAAGAATTAGTTTGTAGGTTTAAGATAGAAGTGTTAATTGAGTCGATCTTAAATTCAATTCTCGGTTTGACGTCATTATGATTAAGACTCAAATTGAACTGAATTTGACTGTCGTGTATAAAATATAAATTCTTGCTAAAACTTAAAAAGGTGGAGTTATTCCCACCCTGAAATCTCCATTCCCACCCTATTTAATTTCTCAATATTAAACTATTAAGTTTATCCTTTCTCTATCAATTCTATATTACTTACACCCCTTTTAAAAAGAAAAGAATGAAATAAGAAAAAGAAAGAAAGAAAGAAAGAAAGAAGCAAACGGAAAAAAGAAGGAATAAAAAAAACAAGTAAAAATTAAAGGAATAAGTAAAACTACAAAACACGAAACCACAAGATGCAAAACTGGACAAGAAAAAAAAATATCAAGCACAAATACAAAATCAAAAAAGAAAAAAAATAAGAAACATGCAAAACTTAAACAAGATTAGAAAAAAAACAACAAATAATTTGAAAAGTATACATATATATGCCCACATATACATTTTAAATAAAAATTATTAAATTTGACAGAGATATCAAAATATACCGAAAATAATAAAAAATCATACAACAAATAGAAAATCAAATATATAATTAAATTGAAAAGTAATACTAACATGTATTTCATTGAAAAAATTCATATTAAAAAAATATTTTTGTGAGTGTATTAGATGAAATAGAGAATGAAACCCTAATTATGACAAAATATAAGGTGAGTTTACTTATTAAACGGGGTGTATGTAGCATGTGGTGAGTATAGAAGGGGTGAACTTAGTAGTTTGATAATGAGAAATTAAATAGGGGTGAAAATAAAGATTTATGGGGTGGGAATAGAGATTGAACTCAAATGAAAATTGATTTTAATTACTCAACAAATTTTTTTACATCTACGAGAATTCTTATGAAACTTTTGGATGTTTTCCTCACAAAAGTTACACAAATTCACATTAGAAAAATGGTGCAAAGATAACCTCTAGACCTATAATTTATCCCATATCCCATCCAAACAAGGTGCTGTATGAGATAAGTTTGGACCTACTACTTTCAATACATGAACCAAACAAGGGATGAAGAGACAAATTTTAAATTTGTCTTTTTTCTTTAGTTGGATGGATATAGAATGAATAAGGTCATTCAGTTCGATCAATCATAATAACTAATCTAAATACACCCACATGCAAGTTATAAATTAGGGTTAATTTCATCGAAAGTCCCTAAAATATGAAATTTGTCTTATCTGATGTGGCTCCTCAATCAAATAACATCCAAATTGTTAACGTTTTTTGATTATAAACTTTTCTGTAATACCTAAATATGGATAAATAAATGTTTTGGATAACTATTTATCAAATTTTTATCAAAGAGCTACCCAAATTATATAGTTTTGATTATGAGTTATCCAAATTTTAATCAAGAGCTATCCATATTACATAGTTTTGGTCAAGAACTACCCAAATTTTAATCAAGAGCTGCTCAAATTATTTGTTGCCTATATTTAAATATCACGCGATAAGTTTATGACAAAAAACCGTTAGCTATTTGGATGTTATCTGTTTATGGGACCACATAAAAACATAGTCAATATTTCAGAGACTAAAATAATGCAATTAAAATATTTAGAACTAAAATGAGACAAACTCTTTACTTTAAGACTTTCCGTGCAATTAAAATTAGGGGTCCTAGGCAACCACCTTTGTGGCCTAGGCGTAGGGCCTGTATGGGGGAGATTCTCGTGGTCATGTTTAGGGTGATTATTACCTACTAATAGTCTCTCCTCTTTTTTATGTTCAAAAATAAAAAATGAAAAATAGAGCTTGATCATTCAAAAGAACAAGTAACAAAATGAATAAGATGTATTATTATCAGCCATATCAATACTATACTCACGAAAATGCTTATTGACCACCTTTACCAAAAGAAATAAACAAATAAACAAATTATTGCCAACAACAAGTAATAAAAAGTATAGCTTAAAGCTATTTTATTGTCCATCTTGAATATTTCTTGACTGAGTCTACTGGTTCTTGACCAGCTCTTGAACGAGTGAGGTTACTGCATCTGCAGTGAGTGGCTTCTCATGGCAATCATCAAGCCCTGCTGCCATGAATGCTTGCTTCTCCGAGTCGAGACCACGAGAAGTCACTCCAACAATCATACTGTTAACTTCCATGGCGCGAAGCTCTCGTGTTGCCTGCTTAACAATCATATGTCAATTATTTGTGATATTTTGTGATATATGTACATGCAATTGTATAGGATAGTATGTATAGATGAAGGCATTGCATTGCAGTTGTAATTTCTTGATGAAGTTGGCAGTATGAACAAATTTTATAGGATTGTAAACATTTGGCTAGTCGAGATGCTCAGGAATAAAACTTTGTGAAGTTGAATATCTGCTTAATGATTCACAGAATTATAAACATTCGGTGTTTCATATAAACTTAAAATATGAAGATAGAACTCATTGAAGGGAAAAATGTTTATGTGACTTGAACCTCAAAAATGTTCTAGTCGTTACGATCCTTACCCTTGTGCCAAATCCTCTCCTACCTTGTGATTACATATTTTATTGCATGCATGTATTAAATATACTATCCATTGTAGATAGTTATATGTAAATGAACAAAAGATCCTATTTGGCTATTTAACAATTTACTAAGAAGATGCTTGTAAATGATTGTTTACATAGAAAACATTAAATTTTCAATTAGATTCATGTCAACCCTTAAATTCAAAAACTAGCTTTTACATTGCATAATTACTACACAATGAAATATAAAGCAAGAAAAATGAACTTTTGGGGCACGAAAATTTTCTGATATTTTGGAAAGCGTTTTGCTTGAAATTTATGTGAGTTTGAGGTGAAGATGGAATGAAAGAGTAATTTCATTTCATCAATTTTCAAACATCAACTATCAGTAGTCAACTATTTTCTATATAGAGGTAGATATGCATTAGTTAAGTCTATTTTTGAAACATTTGTATGTGTAATTTTACTTTTTTACTGTAGAAAATTAGCATGCAAGTTAATTAGAAAAGCTAACCTTTGGTCCATCCATGATTGGCATTTCCATGTCCATGAGGATTAGATCGAAACATGCTCCAGAACGACATAAATCAACAGCTTCTTTACCATTTTCCACTACATGGGTTTCTAGTCCAAACTTGTTCAGAAGAGCCTTGTGGATTTTTTGAATTATAGGATCATCGTCTACGATAAGCACAGAGAGTTTGTTTCCTGAAGTCAAATTTTTCTTGTTGCCCGCGGTGTTTTTCTTGCTCTTCGAACTAGAGGCACCCATTCCGAAAAACATCTCTCCAAGCAACTATTTTCTGTGTGCATAATAACTGTTAGTGTGAGTTAAAACTTATGTGGAAAGCACAAAATGAACTATTTTTTGGCATTTTACTGATGAAAAATGATTTTTTTTTCTACATTTGCATCAACTTGGAGGATAATTCGAGGGCCTTGTTCAGTAACAAAGAAAATTAAATTCATAGAAACAGAAACAGAACCAAAATTAGAATAGTATTAGTAGAGTACCTCTATGCACCTCTTGAACGCTTACTAACAATAATAACTCGAAAAATGGGCTAAATGAAGAAAGGAATTTCTCAGTGGCAATGTCTGCAGCCTCCACACTCATGTTTAAATAAGCAATGAATTGAAGATCAATGGTAATCTCTACACACACCTTTAAGAAAGCATTCCATTAGAAAGGTGAAGAGAATAGCTGGTACCGAGATATCCGCGCTAACAGCTAGATATTCTAGATGTTTTTTTCTCATCTTTACTTTGAAATTGAACTTAAAAGTTGGTGGAAAGGTATATACAAAGATGTGCAAGATGTAATCTAGCAACTCAGATTTTCTTTCCTCTTAAATGAGATGTTTTTGCAATATAGAAAGATTACGCGTATCCGCGTTTAGAAAAGTTTTGGCATTATCATTGATCATCACCTGATTGGGATAGATTTATAATCTCAACATGTCTACACATAATCTAATTCGCGGATTTGCATTCTTCATGGATAGATTGATCCGTAAAAATGGAAAATTAAAATTAAAAATCAGTTGATTACATACCATTTTACATTATTCCCCATTATATTTTGAAGCTCTTCACTTGCTGCAACTTGACTAACATAGGTAGCATGCAGAAACCCACTTTGGAAAAATAATGTGATATCATTTTAAAAAAACGCGATTCTATAACAACGAATAATTCATGCTTATATAATATATACAAATGCAAATACTTGCATATTCAAAAGCATTGGTACATAATTTATCCCAGGCATTAGGATGGAAGTGGTTCACAATGTTACAAAACAACTGCTTTGCTGCATGAAAAAACCTACAAAACCTTGGGCTAGAATTTTGGCTTTTAGATTGATTATACTCGATTGTCGTTCAATTCAATTTATCCTGCACTTGTTTTTTTTTCATTTTATCTGATATTATCCTTAAATACACCGTTTATTCCCCCCCGTCAAACACAAATTGACTGTACTAGTTCAAGAAAAGTGGAAAACAAATGTTCAATGAATTATAGAAGGAGGTGAAACAATTTTCAGCAATTTGACAGTAATATAAATTAACATGTCATGCTATGTATATAGTATTAATCATGTGAGAATATTAGTTTGCATCTGTGGTATACTATATTTGTATTTGTCACACTATTGAAAAAGTCAGAAGCATCGACATGTAACGATTTTCTAAGTATACCTTGGACTGACAATAGCTCATGCTCCGCCTATTTTCTGTCGTGTTGAAATTCAACTAACACCCTACTTATTTATAATCATGCATAGATGATGAGTTTATGTCGAATTATTTATTAAGTGAGTCTATCCAATCAATCAGTTATTGATTTGAATTCATTAAGGCTAAACTCATACCGAGATGTGATAATGTCGCTTTGTATTAAAGGATCGTCCTAAAAATTATAAGCTCTCAATAAACCTGTGCATATACAAACAAAAGACACAAGGGTGGTCCAATATTTCAACCCAATCCAACACAATCCTTTCTTTCACTAGACAAGAAATAATCCACCAGCAGCCCTAACTCAACACACCTTATGGATTGGCCCATCCTTTCAAGGCACATATTTCATATGCAATGGGGGTAAAAAGAGCTAGGGACTAAGATATTCATGTTCAAAAATTTTCAAACTTCCTGTTTTCAGACATTACTTTAGGTATCACCAACATTTTCAAAGCATAAAAGAAAGCTAACCTAGGGAAGCATCACACAATTTCACAATTTCGTGGCATGAAATATTTACAGAGAAATCGATTTGCGCTTGTGAATACTTAATTCATTGTGCTATAATGAGGTTCTGATAGTTGTACCTCAACCGAATCTTGAATTGCATTTAATGAAAATGCGACCTTTTATGGAAAAATAAAACATTGACCAATTCAACTACGGGCTTGGTCACATTGTCACCTCAACTATAGAGTTTCTCACAATGCCCTTCGTAGCTACTTGTTGTGCATTGTATCGAAACCAAACTAACTTCATATTTTCAACAAAAATTGTCTAAACATGTGGTACGTACATACATGTTCTCAATATTTACAATTGGGACAAATTGAAATCAACAACCATAGTTGGATGTGTAATATGTGAAANGATCACATTGTCACCTCAACTATAGAGTTTCTCACAATGCCCTTTGTAGCTACTTGTTGTACATTGTATCGAAACCAAACTAACTTCATATTTTCAACGAAAGTTGTCTAAACATGTGGTATGTACATACATGTTCTCAATATTTACAATTGGGACAAATTGAAATCAACAACCATAGTTGGATGTGTAATATGTGAAATGTGATAATTGAAAGGGAAATGTGAGATAGGGACATAGCTGACATCCGGAGGGTCAAGATGTAAGTTACTCTTTTTTGTCTTGAAATTCAAAATGTTACAACAATCGATTGTGAACACCATAACAACCATGGAAATGAATTGCACAAAATTAAATCATTAGCAAAACAAACAATAATGAGTGTTTGTTAGCCTATTTATAAAGCTATTACATTTTCTCCCACCATCCCGAAACCAACTTAGAGAGTGACCAAAGAAAAAAGTGTCATTAAAAACAGACAACTATACGTAGGAGTAAGTTCAAGTTTTGATACATTGTCAATAAAGGTGGCAATTGGGTAGTGTTGGAGGTATTCATGTCGTGTCAGAGTATACATGTTCCACTAAACATGCTCATAAGAAGTGTTAACAACCAACTAATTTTGTCAAATTCGATTCGTATCATGTCGAATATTAACACCTATGTTGACAACAAGTTTGCAAAACTGTCAATACAGCAAAGAGTAGCACATACCATCTAAACCGAACAAGTATTAGTCACTATACTACAGCTTCCTTCATTAATGGCATAACAAAAAGTTCCCAGTAGAAAGTGAGAGCACCCGACCACCAACTATAGCACCCTTTTTTGCTCCCGATCTACTAGCATGTCACAGACAACTCATTTTATTAGGCTACCCCTGTCCACATATCAGATTGGGATTAGATTTTTGAAGGATTTTATTTTGAAAATCTAGATGAAATTGATAAGAATCGAAAATTAGATCTAATCCAAATAACTGAATTAGAGCTGAATTTACCAACTCGAACCGTCATAGGAATTGAAACTCAATCATATGACGCGCCTCCTAAAGTTTGGATTGGATTTGTAGATACCAAAAGGGCTTGTTGATCATAATGGCCTATTCATAAAGTGTCCTTCCCGAGCATATAAAGCCTTCAATCTTTCACAGTCAGCGCTATCGTGTACATCTTCTTCTCGTATGTGGGCTAGTTTAAGAGGCCTAATTACATTTGAATTTCAATTCAATTTCAAAGTATATAACTCGGGTTAGATCGATTCACAATTTGATCGAATAATGCTATATTCAAATCTGATTTCATGAAGTAGGATNAGCTATTACATTTTCTCCCACCATCCCGAAACCAACTTAGAGAGTGACCAAAGAAAAAAGTGTCATTAAAAACAGACAACTATACGTAGGAGTAAGTTCAAGTTTTGATACATTGTCAATAAAGGTGGCAATTGGGTAGTGTTGGAGGTATTCATGTCGTGTCAGAGTATACATGTTCCACTAAACATGCTCATAAGAAGTGTTAACAACCAACTAATTTTGTCAAATTCGATTCGTATCATGTCGAATATTAACACCTATGTTGACAACAAGTTTGCAAAACTGTCAATACAGCAAAGAGTAGCACATACCATCTAAACCGAACAAGTATTAGTCACTATACTACAGCTTCCTTCATTAATGGCATAACAAAAAGTTCCCAGTAGAAAGTGAGAGCACCCGACCACCAACTATAGCACCCTTTTTTGCTCCCGATCTACTAGCATGTCACAGACAACTCATTTTATTAGGCTACCCCTGTCCACATATCAGATTGGGATTAGATTTTTGAAGGATTTTATTTTGAAAATCTAGATGAAATTGATAAGAATCGAAAATTAGATCTAATCCAATTAACTGAATTAGAGCTGAATTTACCAACTCGAACCGTCATAGGAATTGAAACTCAATCATATGACGCGCCTCCTAAAGTTTGGATTGGATTTGTAGATACCAAAAGGGCTTGTTGATCATAATGGCCTATTCATAAAGTGTCCTTCCCGAGCATATAAAGCCTTCAATCTTTCACAGTCAGCGCTATCGTGTACATCTTCTTCTCGTATGTGGGCTAGTTTAAGAGGCCTAATTACATTTGAATTTCAATTCAATTTCAAAGTATATAACTCGGGTTAGATCGATTCACAATTTGATCGAATAATGCTATATTCAAATCTGATTTCATGAAGTAGGATATAATGAATTCAAATTTGGGTTTTGGTTCAGAAATATCAATCATGTTCAATTATTTGATTGTAGATTTGAATGAGAATCAGATTTAAATCTGATCTTTTGATAAGCTTAGATTCGATCTAAGTTGTCACATTCTTTGTCCTCCATCTTTCNGTATTCATGTCGTGTCAGAGTATACATGTTCCACTAAACATGCTCATAAGAAGTGTTAACAACCAACTAATTTTGTCAAATTCGATTCGTATCATGTCGAATATTAACACCTATGTTGACAACAAGTTTGCAAAACTGTCAATAAAGCAAAGAGTAGCACATACCATCTAAACCGAACAAGTATTAGTCACTATACTACAGCTTCCTTCATTAATGGCATAACAAAAAGTTCCCAGTAGAAAGTGAGAGCACCCGACCACCAACTATAGCACCCTTTTTTGCTCC